TCCTGAATAAGCACTCTATCGTTGACATGGATCGTTATTGGGTTTGCCGTTCGGTCATAACTAACCTTAGTTTTAATTTTGTTCCTCATTAGACATTCTCGAGCAATTCGATGGGCTTCTCGTAGCCTCTGTTTGAGTTCTTCCTGATAATCGTCGTAGTTGTACTGCGGTTCTGGAGGTTTTGTCAGAGATGTTGGTACTTGTAAGGTTCTCCCATAGAGGAGTGCGTAAGGTTGTGTTTGCCTGTGGATTGATGTTCCGATGAGTTGTAGGTGAACATGGTGTATGGTATGTAGGTGTCCCAATTTCGCTGGTCTGAATCTACATGGTGTCTCAAGTATTCTCCTAACATGCGATGGCTCCTCTCTAGTGCACCAATCGCTTGTGGATGGTACGGCGATGTATTAATCCGTTTCACTCCTACAGGGCCGTCCTTAGGATTTGCGAGGCCCAGGGCGAAATAACTTTTAAAACCTTTTAGGTATATATTTATATCTATGATCTATTATCTCCATAAACATATAATGACATCAATAATTCTTATCACACAACAAATTTGGTAGATACCTCCCTAATTATAATCTAAAATAAGGGTTTTTTTTCATAAAACATAATATAGCTAGGTAAATAAAATAAAATAATTTTAGATTATACTTAAATAACATGTTTTTCTTTATTTACTGATATTAAATAATTTATTTATCGTCACATATTAATATTTATACAGATTTTCATTTCAATAAAATAACAATAAACAGACGAATTAAAATACTAAAAAATACAGTAAAAATCATTTTATTCGTCAAAAATTAATTTTTCTGGCTTTTATTTCTGCGAACTTTTCAATAATGTCGTTATAGTCTATATTTTCACACAAATCACGTTCAATTGAAATAATTGCCAAATCAGAAAGTCGGTCTTGCACCATAGTTGTTCTCAAATAATTCTTAATGATTTTTAACTTCGAGAAACTTCTCTCAGCACTTGCAGTTGTTATCGGAAGAGTTAATAATATTCTTAACGCGATAGAAATATTTGGAAATGAACCACATGTTGATTCTATTTAATCAAGACACTCGATACTGGTTTTTTGTTTGTTCAAAATTCTACAAAATATTTTTAACTCGTCAAAAAGTTCAATTCCATTTATATCGCAATTTTCACCGTCCTTTAATAATATTTCTAAATCCATGCAATGCTTTCGTAATGTTTCATCTTCAAATAACTTCAAATTTTCAATATTATATAAAAATCCAAAGTTTTCTGATTGTTCAGATAATTGCTCGAATCGTTGATTAATTGATACAATTGCTTGATCTACCAATGCCAAAAAATAATCTTGATAAAATTTTTGTTCGTTAGAAACTGTTCGTGTATCATTACATTCATAATCAAACTGCTTACTTTTTTTTAGAACTCTAGATTGTTTAAAAATTGGTTGAGTTCCAATATCTTCACATAATTGTTGTGCAGTTTTTTTTGATAACTCAAACCCCTTTTCTCTAAAATTATTAAAAAAATCTTTAAGACCACTTAATAATTGAACAGCATTACTCAGTTCCATAGCTTCACTCTGAAGACTCTTACTAACTTTATTAATAGCAGATAGCAGTTCATACCAAATAACAACACTTAAAATAAAATCATAAGAATAATCATAATTTGCCAAAGACAAACTCTCACTTTTTATCTTAGGATCCTTTGTTAACTCACTGACTTCTACTAAAGCATCGTGTACTTGGCCTAATTGAAAACGAATAGGTTTAATCGATTCAACCCGAGACTCCCACCTGGTATCTGACATTGGTTTTAAAGTAAAGTCTGAAACGTATTTTAAAAGAATAGTCCATCTTTCAGTAGAAGCACTGAACATTGTATAAATTCTTTGAATTACGCCAAAAAATGTCATAGCAGCTGGTACAGACGATGCCATGTCCCCGAGAAGTAAATTAAGACTGTGCGCAGTGCGTGGTACAAAAAAAGCTCTTGGGATCGACCACTCATTTTAATATTATTGTATTAGAATATTAGATGCAATCAATGTCAGCAGCAAACGCACGCACGATTACACGAAAAAGTAAAAACTACTACTAATAAAATCGGTCTATCTACTATTTGCTCAATAAATATTATTTATTATTAATTATTATCAATGTTTTTCAACGGTGACAGTCGACGAACGACGAACGAATAAATCTATTATTATCTATTACTAATAAGTAATAAGCAATAAAAATTCGACGAAAAAGACGGTCGGTGATTGCTGCCTGCTACCCGCATTACCACAGCGATGTGTTGCGATTACGACAATATTGTATTTTTGATATTTCAATATTTTTACATTGAATCAACTTCGTTATTTTTATATAAATTTCTACTTTTTTCAAACAACGCGAGGCCCAAAATTTAAGCAAAAAGCGCGAGGCCCAGGGCCCGGGCCCTGTTCGCCCCCCCCTAAGGACGGCCCTGCACTCCTATTAGCTTACATGTTTCGAAGAAGATTTTATTAAGAAACTCTGTTCCTTGATCGCTTATAAGATTCTGTGGCATGCCGTGAATGCACACAAATGAGATGACGAAATGGAACGCTACAGTATTAATTGCTTCTTTGTTAGCCATGGGTGTTGCCACTGAAAATTTGGTCAGATCACATTGTAGGGTAAGAATGTATACATTTCCTTGATACTTTAGGAGCGTCTAAACACAGAACTGAACCGTGGTCTATCTGCGTTTGCGCGAGTACCATATCAAGATTTGAAATCTCTTATCATTTTATCAATTATTATATCATGCATTCATGTATAATATGAATATGTTTACAAAAAAACTAGAAACTGAAAAGAAAATCATACATTTTCATGGTACGTATAATATAATATTATATAATAAAGTTAATATAAATAGTTAAATAGTAAATAATTAAAAAAGTCTTTAGACTTCATCAAATAAAATGTATAAAAGTAATGTCTGGAAAGTATAAAATAATTTTAATTATTATTTTTTAAAATATGAATGTTCTACATCTTTCTCCTGCAATATTTTAAATTTTTTATTTAAAAAGGTGTCTCGTAGTTTATTTTTTTCAAGTTCCGATGGTTTAAACAAATCGTTTTCGGGTTTTTTTCGTTTCGATTTTGTCGAAAAAAAGTTGTTTTGTGTGGTTATTTTTTTATTAGGCGGATCGTTATTTACTTTGATGAATTCACTATTTGGTGCAGACTGTTTTGATGTTGCGTCTATAAATGCAATGAGAGCATCTATATTTTTAATAGCTTCTTTAAGGTGATCAGAATCTTCGATTAATTGGATTTTATTTAATGTGCTCATAGTTTTTTTTTAAATATTTCATACAAATTTTCATTTTCATTTTCATTTTTGTTATTTAAAGTCTTCATATGTATTTCTATTTCTTTTGTATTGTTTGTATCTTCTACATGTTTATTTATATTATTTAATTCTGAACTGATCATTTTATTTGTGGCATTTTCATGACTTAGTGCGATAGTATGAATGTGTTTACAAATAATTGATTTTATCGAGTAATCTAAACAAGTGCATTCAAATGTATGAATGCATATTTTACACGTACTACAAACTATTACACAACATATTTCTTCATTATTTTTTTTAACTACCTATGATTGATTTGGTTTATGTTCACCATCTACATTCCAGCTATTTGCATCGTTCTTAGTAATATTTAAATTAAGCGAAATACTAGTTAAATGCCTTTTTTTTAATCTCCTGTATTCTTGTTGTTGATTTACTCTTTGTTAATTTGATCATTCTTTCTACTTTTTTATCACGTGTGAATCGTCTTATTGTCATTATACTTTTATCTAATCTTCCAATCTTACATCCATTTAGATAATGATACTTTATAGTTTTATGCATTGATTCCAGATGCATATTGCAGTTTATTCCCAGTCCTTTTCTGTAACAATATGCCCATAATGTTGCTCTATTTGCATACATTCGTTCAAAATATAATCCAAAGTTTTTAGTTTCAGGATCATTCATCGTTTCAATAACAAATTTGTTTTAAATTTTTTTTAAATCAGTTTCACTGGTTATTGTTTGAAGCATTTTTAATGATTTGTAAACTGTTGATTGTTTTTCCTTACACTGAGGTCCAATAATTTTATTTAAATTTTGCCTCTAGGCTTTATCAACATGCCATGAACAAAAAATGCGATGTGGGACTGGGCCCATTACAGCTTCCCATGCTGAATAAAAAGTTTCAACTATATCAGTCATGAATGTTTGTGGTTTTATTATACCTGTGACATTATAAATTACTGTGAACATAATAGTATATATTTTTGTATCTTTCAGATTAGTATACATGAAACAACACGGAAACCCTGAACCAAAGTCATCGATTACCATTAAGGTAACTAACTCAAAATCATATCCATTAAGTCCGTGGGTCCCATCAAGACAAACTACTTTTCCGTGTCCAAATTTTTGTAGCAAGTGTCTTTGTCCTGGATCCATTATGATTAAACAAAAATCATTTATTTCTAATTTTCCAGTAATATCGATAACTCCTGAAATTCACACAATTATATTTAAATGATTTTATATAATTTTAAATATATGTCGCTTACTTTGAATTGTTCTGAATTTCAATTTCATACTTATTTTTAAATAAAAATTAAATTACATATTAAAATAATGTTATACTTACCTATTCTATTTTGTGTACCTACCAATCTACATTTAAAATAAAATAATTTTGTTGGATAATTTACCTTGTTTTTTATAGTATTGAACTGGATTGTTATCTCCATGCTCTTTCATTTGTTCAACAAAAATATCCACACTTGTAAAGTCATCTTAATGCAATTGACCATCCTTAATATTTATATTATATTTTTGCTTGATGTTATGAAGATCAGCTCGAGTAATTAGATCTTCTCTTTTCAAATTGTTTCCAATGTTATCCCTAAAATTATCCAATATTCTACCAACTGTCACACCTTGTGACAACTTTGCAGCGACTTCATGTTTTGTTGTAACTGGTAAACCAATGTGTTGCAGTTCATTTTCATGTCCATAATGTTCTTTATAAAATTTTATATTACAATTGCTTTGGTTTACGGGCTCAAATAATATAATATGACTCGTACAATTTGAGTTGATTTTTTTAGTTCCTTGTGATTTTATTAGTCTTTTGGAATCATATTTTTCTTTATAGGTGCCAGATCGACTACATTTATAGTAAGTTCAACGACCATCATTGCATATTCTTTTTCCGGTTTGGTGTGAATATTGACAATTATTTTTTAGTTCAAAATTTATTAACCAATTTTGAAAATCTATAATTTAATGTATGATTTTTTTAGTTTATAAGAAGTGTATATTTAATAAAAAAAAAATAAAATAAAAATGTAATTATGTCATAGTAGTACCTGATACACTAGAAAAGTGCATTATTTCTTCTTTTATACACATTCCATGTTGTGTATTTAGATGTTCAATAAGCAATTTTTTTTTTGAAAAAGTTTTGTCATTACAAGTGATACATTTAGATAACATTTTTTTTTTAGCTTCATTAGTAACATTGTGTTTATTTAAAAGATGTCTTGTCAATGAAGACTTAGTTGCAAATTCTACTTTGCATATATCAGAAATAATTGACATTTTGAAAATAAAGTTAAAATTAGTAGAAATTCTAAGGTGGAAACTCGTTTTTTGTACACTTTGTCAAAGTTGCCTACCATTGTGATTGTATCTTTTATGTAATTATTAAGAGCTATTTTTACAACTTTTATTAGGCAAATTTTATTACTGTACATATAAGATAAATACAAGATCCAATAAAAATATTGCATGCAATAATATGTTTAGGATGTTATGAGAATTAAAAACAAGCTAATATTATTTTACAATATCAATTTCCACAATTTCTATATTAATGATGGCTAATTATTTTTATAGATATCTAGAAAGGAAATGAAAGGTTAAAAATACACAGTAAGTCTTACATAAAATAATGAAATATTTTATCATGTGCTTTACTTTAAACATTTTACTAATGTGTTAATAACAATTCTGTATTGAGAGATTCATTATTTATGTAATTAAACTCATAGTTTAAGGAATATTCCTTATATTCCTTATACTATGATTAAACTAAAAATACATAATGATTATTAATGAATATTAATTCTATAATAATTGATAAAATGATAAGAGATTTCAAATCTTGTAATGGTACTCGCGCATGCGCAGATAGGCCACGGTTCAGTTCTGTGTTTAGACGCTCCTGATACGTTCGAGTCAGTGGACCAACTACGTCGATGAATACCCTTTCAAAAGATTCAGACGCATTGGTACTGATTACCATCGGCAGCTTGATATTACTGGATGATGTCTTGTTTATTTGACAGGACGAACATTTGTTATTGAAATCAGTGACATCTTGACTTAATCCTTCCCAATCAAATTGTTTTTGAATTCACTTGATTGTCTGATTGACTCCGCGGTGTCCTCCGAGTACTGCCATATGATGCTCACTTATTATTTGTTGTTTGTCTAGTCCAGGGGTCGGCAATTAATTTATATGCAGGGTCAGATATTTAAAAAAAAAATTTCAAGGGCCAAAAAAATCTTATACATAATTTTATCATTAATGTATTTATTTTTGTATTATAAACACATTTTAAGACACAGTATTTAATATTTAATTATTTATAAAGTAATAATACATTCATACTAATAATAATAAAATTTAATGAGAAAAATGACATTTCTTTTCTTGAGCTAATTTTTTAAGATCTGGTACTCTTGGAGAACAACTGATGCGTAAAGTGTTTTCAAGGTGGTGATCTGTTAACCTTGAACGGTATCGGTTTTTTAAAAACGTCATTTTTGAAAATGAAGTTTCACATACATAAGTGGAGCCAAACATAGTAGCTAATTTTATGGCAAGGGTATTACAGTTCATGTATTTATCCAAGACATGTTTTATCCAAAAATCTTCAGTAGACGAATTCTTATTTATTTGCAATGAGATATCTTCTTGCAAATCAATAATTTCCATTTGAAGTGAAGATTTTGGAAGTCTGAATAATTTTGTAGCAACGTCAATCCATTCTCCAGTCGGAGAAACTTCAAACGGATTTTTTAAAAATTGAGACAGTTTTCCAATTTCTGCAAAGTCTTTGAATCTCTTACCAAATTCTTCACCAAGGTCCGACAAAAAAAACTTAAAAACATACTGCAGTCTATGTCGGAATTCTTTTTATGTTCAAGGATTGTTGAAAAATGAATAAAATCTTCAAAGATTTCAAGTTTTCGTCGGAAAGCAGATACACTTGATATCAGATCACAAATTAACTTGTTATGCCCTTGTAACTCAGTATTATGTACATTTAAATATGTAAGAATGTCTTTTAAAAATGCCACAGATAGCATATTGCTCTCGTTCGTTAAGAATTTATGATACTGCTTTGATTATTGTGAATCCAAGTTTACCAAGAACGTGATTACTTCTTCTTTTATACTCCAAAAACGTTCGATCACTTTGCCTTTACTTAACCAACGGATATTGTTATGTTGAAGTAAATCCGAATACACTGAATCACATTCAAATAAAAAATCTTTAATCTGCCTGTGCTGAAGAGCAGATCGGGACTTTAAAAAATTAATCATTTTGATCATTATGTCCATTACTTCCTTCAGCGTTGTTCTAAGTTTGCCACACAGGGATGTTTGATGAATTATACATTGATATGAAAGTATTTCAGCATTCTTATCCTTGATTCTCTTAACAAATCCTTTTTCATTACCAATCATTGCTGGGGCGCCATCGGTTGAAATATACACAATTTTATTATAACTAATATTTGATTTAGTCATGAAGTTGTCAAAAGTTTTAAAGAAATCTTCTCCACGAGTCTTGCATTTCAATGGCAATAATGCTAACAACTCGTCTCTAAACACATTACTTTCAACGTCTTAAAAGCGCACGAAAATTGACATCTGCTCAGAATCAACAATATCACATGACTCATCAATTGCAATAGCGTAGCAAGGAGCCATCTGTAAAATGTGAAGTAAATTATTTTTGTTGTCATCGGCCAATAGTTCTGTTCTTCTTGTATTGCTTCTTGCTGATATAGGAACATTTTGAATAGCATTAATTATGTCCTTTTTCTCTTCAAAAAGTGCAGTGGCTACTTCCAACATACACTCTTTTACAATTTCTGAGTCTGTAAATTACTTTTGGTGCTTATTTAACGTCCAGCAAACACGCAATGCTGCTTCTATTGACTTTTCTTGCCCACTCATACTTTTTACTAACATGGTCGTACTATTTTTATAAGACAAGAGATACGCTTGGAGCTTATCTTTACGCGCTGCAATGTCAAGAGGAAATTTTTTTTCAAAATCTTTATGCATTGTATCATAATGACGCTTTAAATTAGCACATTTAACGACAGCAACTGTACTGTTGCATATGAGACATACTGGAACGGCTCCAGCTCTTACTGGAAGTGTAAAAAAATATTGTTCGGTCCACTCAGCCAGGAACTTTCTGTTTTCATTGTCAACTTTACGTTTTTTGGAAAACATACTCGATTGCACACGAATAATATTTATAAATTAATAAGTTTTAACACTACTGACGCGACGGACTACGAACTACAAACGCAACGCAACGATTAAATTGAACTAAATAATATTATTAAGTGTTTCAAGAAGTAGGTTCAATGTATGGTGTTCTGTTATCGTGACTATTATTATAAACAGCTTTATACGATGAACGCTATCGTAATTTCCTAATAAACCATAAAAATAGATGTATTTTACACACACACGCGAATGCAAGCGACTCGGCCCGCAGCCGTGACTGCGGCACGTTCAACAACAACACAGATAATGATTAACCGTTATTATTGTCTCAGCGCCTCATGAAATCTATTTCAATATTAGTTTAATTTTTGTTATGAAGGGTAGGGGGCACTACATAGGATATATAGGAAAATTAAGAAAATTTTAGGCGGTCCATATTTTTTTCTTCCGCGGGCTGGACATGGCCCGCCGGCCGCCTATTGCCGACCCCCGGTCTAGTCCAACAACGCTTTGTTTGGAGAATATTTGTATGTTAATTTCAGAGTCTATGTATCTGATCATACGGAGTACCGTAGGCCAATCTAATTGGTCTGATCCGCTACCGCTAAATTCCGAATTTCAAATTCTTGACAAAAATGTCGGAGGTTCCGTAAAGAATTGTACATGTCCTCTAAAGTTGGCTTCTGCCAAAAATTTTCCTTCGTTACGAGGTTGATGATGTATCGCGATCCCAGTTGAAAATATGCTACTTCGGTTTTCTTTGGTCGTTGAAGTTTTAAGTGTTGTAAGTGTCCGAATTTTCTTCGAAATTCCAGGGCGATACCTCGATTCAGCTTTAAATCCACAGTTACGCAGTGTAGTAAATGGAATTCTTCTGAAACGATGAAGAGATCTCCAGTTACCTCTTGCGTTCCGACAATTTTGTCATTCGTTATCCGAGATATACTCATGGAAGAGTTTCAAATCCATAAATGATCCTGCCGATTGTCGTTGAGATCTAGTATGGTCGACTTTTACTTCTATTATTCGACTTAGTGCATCAACGTTGGTATTGGACTTTCTGGTTTTGTAAATTACTTCATATTGGTATTCGGCTAACTTTAATCTCCAACGTAGTAATCTCGAACCAGGATCTTTTACATTGAATAGCCAAGTTAATGGCTTGTGGTCTGTGTAAATTTTGAATTGTCTACCGAGTAGGTAAGGTCTAAAATTCTTTACTGCCCAGACTATGCTCAACAACTCCTTTTCGGTCGTACTATATGCTTGCTCTGCTTTATTAAGAGTTCTAGACGCATATGCAATGGGTCGATTCTATCCTGGTGTACCCTGTGACAAAATGCTTCCAATTGCGAACTGGCTAGCATCCGTAGTTAAGATAAACGGTCTTTCAAAATCAGGATATTGTAATACTGGTGCTTCCACGAGTTTCTGCTTGAGCATCTCAGAAGCTCTTTGACATTCCGTCGACCATTCAAATGGTACGTCTTTGTTTAAAAGCGCAGTGAGTGGTTTCGCCGTTCTACTGTACCCTTCGATAAATCTTCTTTAATAGCCCGATAAACCCAACAATTGTTTAATTTCTGTTGTATTTCTGGGAACTTTGTGATTTTGTACGCATTCGATTTTTCCCGGATCAGGTTTGACTCCTTCGTCAGTAATGAGATGTCCCAAGTATATGACCTCTGTTCGTAGGAATTGACACTTTGACGGTTGCAAACGGAGATTAAATTTTCTAAGCCTTGCAAATACATCTCGCAGTTTGGATTCATGGTCCTTTAAGTCCGAAGCGTAAACAATTATATCATCCAAGTATACGAAAGCCTTGACACCGTTGATTCCCGTTGGAGCTGTGTTCATTAACCGTTGGAATGTACTGGGAGCTCCGCTTAACCCAAATGGCATTCTCCGGAACTTATATTGGCCTTTGTCAGTAGAAAAGGCTGTCTTTTGATGATCTTCTGCCCTAATTGATACATGGTGGTATCCACTGACTAAATCCAACGTAGAGTAGTATCTCGACCGGCCTAATTGGTCCAAAATTTCATCTATCCTAGGTATAGGGTATGCGTCTCCAATAGTCAGTTCGTTAAGGCGTCTGAAATCTACACATACTCGATATTTTGGGTTTCCCTGAGCATCTGGTTTCTTCGGGACCACGATCAGTGGTGCATTCCACGGGGACTCGGATGGCTGTATAATATTGTGGCTTTCCAATTCTTCCATTTGTCTTACAATCTCTTGACGGTGAGGCAGTCTATACGGTCGAACATTAACAGGTTTCGCGCCTTCCTTTAGATGGATCTCGTGCTGTATTGCATCGGTAGAAGGAAATGAATCTCCCTCCAGGTGGAAAATATCCGGATATTCGCCAATCACCTTCTAGAGACTATCTGATTCTTCCGCATTTAATTCTTGATATGTTATAGCCTCCCGAATGCGATCAATGCGATGCCCATCATCAGTTATTTCGTTTGTATTTGCTGCAATCAGCATTGAGGTTTCACGGAATTCCTCAAACTCGATTTCTTCGATTTTTAAAGGTGGTATTGTGATGAGCTTTTCTGAAGTATTGATGGCAATAGCTAAGATTTTTCCTTGTTTAACTGTGTTAACCACATTCCCAAGACGAACGTTTTCCTTTTGTAGACTTTGTGAATGAACTACTAAAACTGTTCCTTCCGGTCTTGAGCTAGCAATTGTAATGATAGTTTCTGAACGCGGCAAAAGTGTAAGAGGATCGGTATTGAGTTGAAAGATCTTTGACGAATAGTAATCTATTGCTATTTACCTGTTCGGTGAGAAATGGATTTCCCAAAATTCCTTCGTGAGGAATTGGAAAATTATCATGAACTACCTGGAATTTGGTTGTAAGAGTTTCAGTTCCTAGATTTAAATTGAGGATCACAGAACCCAAAGTGCGTACTAAGTATTCATTAATTACTTTTAACTGATAGCTTTGAGTTTCGTCAACCATTACTTCATTTCTTAAAGTGGATAATTTTATCATATTCAAATCACTACCTGTATCTATAAGTAATTTAACATTTTCTACTATGCACTGTAGAATGTCAAACGTAACATGTTTATTAATTAATTCTGCCTCGAAATAGAAAGCCCTTGCAAGTTCAGAGTGGCTGTTTTGATATCTCCCACCGGGCGGGCGCCACTTGGGCCCGGTGTTTGCTCGTTTCCCGACGATGTGCCATGTTGCTCCTGTGCCTTGCGTTCATTAACATATTTCCGTTTGCGACATTCACTTATAGTGTGATTCGGCTTTTTACAATAGTTGCACGTAACTATTCTGATAGCTTTTGTTTCCGTTTATTCTCTGTAACGGGCTTGATCGGCTTCTGAAGCATGGCATTGTCTTGCCTGGTGGTTTGTACGTCCATAGCGAAAACAAGCGCCAGGTGGTCTACTGTTAGATTTTTGTATCGAATTTGTCTTACTCGCGCATCTATTACCTGACTTAAAATCTGACCTATTGTTTTTAAGAATTTCTTTTTGGTTTATGCGTGTAGTTTCTTCTTCCAAAGCAATTTGGACGGCCTCCGATAATTTATTCGGTCTACTAGCTCTTACTAAAATCTTTGTATCGTGTGGTAATCCTTCGGTATATGCTGATAAAATTTGCCTTTCTGTTATCTTAGATAAGTCTTCCGTATTAGAAATTTTATTTGTCGCCATTGATGCTTCTATAATATCGTAATATAATTGCTCAGCTCTGTCACTATATTGTTTAATAGTCTCCCCCTCAGCTATTTTGAACGTTGATAATTTCGAATGTAAATGTGTTAACGTTTGTTTCTTATTAACGGTGAGGTCTAAAATTTCCTTTAGTTCTTTGTAAGTGGTAGGTTTTTTATGTCTAAATGGGCGTATGGCCTTGCCTATTAATCGAGTTGTTATGCCCCTGATTAGATTTTCTTTCTCCACTGGGTCGATGCTTTGTAAAGCATATTCGCACGCATTATGAAATGCAAAACTATCATCAGCGTTTTCTCCATTGAACATAGGGATCAAGTTTAAAGCTTGATGTGTGGTCATAAACTTCGACATTATTGTTTCTTCTACTGCTTGATTTTGATTGCGAATTAAGTTAAGTAAATTTCTTGCGTCCTCGAGAACTGAGTCAGTGTTACCTATAGAATTGTTTGCTCTATCTAGAATATATCCTGCCTGAGATAAATTGTTGTACCTACTATAGTCCAAATCAAATTCGTCAGAGGGTTCGTATAGTTCTCCACTAGAAGGGACACTAACACTACTTTCAAGATCTATGAGATTTTCAGAACTAGGTTATAGTTTCGTTTTGGTCCGTATCTGACATATACTACTACTGATTACAAATAATTAGCCCGAATAAATAATCATACCATACCAAAAGCAATTAAATAAATGGTTCTCCACAATTACCTTTCCGATTCCATACACACAACAGTAAAAAAAAAGCAAATAAATAATAAAAAAAAAATAAAAGCGTACTGCAAAATTATAGTATAAATAATATAAAATTATAATAGTACAAAATTATTCACAGTTGCCTTAATATATTTATTTTATTTTATTTTCCCTTCCCTTAAACCGTACTGTTATTGATATTATATTATTTCACAACTGAGTAAATCAGCTTGAGCTTTATGCGTTGCGATTTAAACGAATGATTGGATAACTCACAAGAATGAGGCGGCTATATATAGTAACATTGTTGTTGTGGTTTTCGGTTGTTATGATTGATACGCGGTGACAACAGCTGTGATATGGTTATTGCGCCAGGAGCGTCTAAACACAGGAATGCACCTTATGCGTATTGCGCATGCGCGTAATTTATTCTCCACTATCATGTATTCATGTTTGACTGTTATCAATATATTATCAAATCAATATAATACGATTATATAATTATAGGAATCAAATTATTCAAAATTTAAACATGCTTTACATTTTTCTTGTGCTTCGACCACATTCATAATCTTTTGATATTTGTATACTACCATAAATTGTATATTATTAAAAATGATTTACTGTAAATTTGAAAAGTTAATTATTTTCTAAACTGGTTGAGTCGTCTTCGTCTTACAAACATATTTTATTGTAGAAATATTATTGTAAGTATTACGTGTTATATAAATAATATAATACAATAATAATAATTAAATGGTATAATGATTTACAGTTTGTCATTTAATTGTTATGTTTACTGCTAAAATTCTCAAAAACATCAATTTGCATCAATTGTAAGTATTACGTGTTAAATAAATAATATAATATAATAATTATTTAAGTGTTATTATTATTTACAGTTTGTCATTTAATTGTTATGCTCACTGCCAAGTTTCTTTCTCGAAGGATGTATAAATATCAACAAATTCCTGTGTGATATCCTCTTAATATGAAATCCAACAGATCAACAATTTGAATTATGGTTACCTATACTTTATGTACTTTAAGTATTTACTATTAAGATTATGTCGTTTATATAGGTATATAGTCGTATAGATAATATTTAATTTTTATGTTTAAGATATCTGTGAATTGTATTGTTAATACTCAATAAGACATTTAATAAATAGTCTTTTGGTAATACATTTTGATAAAGTCTGGTTTATAAAGTGTTTAAATAGGTAATTGGGTAAAATGTAGATATAAATAAACATTATTAAAAGCCATCTCAGCATATAGTATAGTTATTACTGTTAACGACAGATATACGGTGTGATGTACTTGAACATTTTTATGGTGTCATATTTGCTTTTAATTATTTTAAAAACAATAAAAAATGGATTTTAATTGTGATATTTGCAAAAGTTAATTTTCTACCAAGTTTACACTAACAAGACATTTGAATAATAAACATGGTATAACAAATGAAGTAAAACAAAAATCGTCTAAATGTATTTCTTGTCCTAATCTAACATTTTCTAAAAAAGTATTGTTAATTAATCATTTAAATGATAATCATGGAACGTGTATCGAAAAAGAAATTATCAACTTTTCAAACATCTGCTATGTATAGTGATTTATTTAGTAAAAATATGCTTTTAATCATTTTTATAATATACAATTCATTAAAATCTAGAATTTAACAGCTGGTTAAAAGAATATGAATTAAACAACAAATGTGAATATGTTCTTCAGACGGGGAAAAAAAAAGTCAAAAGATGGCCATAGAAGTTATTATGAGTGTGGTCGAACAAGAAATTTATAAAGAAATCGATAGTTCTAAAAGATCAATAAATACAAGGGAGTAAAAAAATTAATATTAACTGTACAAGTCACATAATATTATTTGAACATTTAAATAAAAGTAGTTGTGATATAATATTTTATAAATATCACTATGGCCATCAAGAAAATGAACTTCAACATATTAGTTTACCAATTACCAAAAAGCATGAAATAGCAGCTAAATTATCACAAGGTGTGACGATGGAAAGAATATTGGATGATTTTAGAGGCAATATAGAGAGTAATTTAAAAAGGGAAGATCTCATTACACGAGCCGATTTGCACGATGTTAAACAAAAGTACAATATCACCATGCAGGATGGTCAATTACACAAAAATGATGCCACAAGTGTCGATATTTGGGTAGAACAGATGAAACAAGAAGGGGGAAATAATCCAGTTATATATTACAAAAAACAAGGTAAATAATATAAAAATAATTTATTTAACTATTTTAATTTTTAATACATACCATATAATTTATGTATTTATATATTTTTTATTATAATAAAATATATAGGTAATTTAATTAAATAAAAATTATATATATTAACTCTACTTAAGAAAACAATATTAAAGTAGTTTTTTAACTTATTATAATATATGAAGTAGATGGAAACAACATATTAGACTTAAAAGACTTTTGCATTATATTAATGGACCCTAGTCAAATGCATATGTTAAAACAATTTGGACATGAAAAATAGTATGTACTGATGGTACACATGGTCTTAATACTTATGATTTTGAATTGGTTACATTATTAGTGGTTGATGATTTTGGTTCTGGATTTCCATGTTGTTTTATGTTCACAAATTTAAAGGATACAACAATTTACACAGTTATGTTTTCAACTATAAAAGAAGAAGTAGGTGTATAATAAGTCCAAATACTTTTATGACTGATATAGTTGAGACGTTTTATTCGGCTTGGGAAAATACAATGGGCTCAGTTTCCCATCGTTTATTATGTTCTTGGCATGTAGATAGAGCTTGGAGGCAAAACATTAGCAAAATAACTGGACCGACACGCAAGGAAAAACAAGGGACTACATATAAATCACTAAAAGTTCTTCAGTCAATGTGCGATGAAAATGAATTTAATAATGCTTTAAAATAATTTAACCAGGAGCTAATGAATGATCCAGACACTAAAGACTTTGGTATATATTTTGATCGCATGTATGGAAATAGAGTTAGTTTGTGGGCGTATTGTCATCGGAAAGGTCTAGGAGTAAATTGTAATATGCATCTAGAATCTATGCACAAAACAATAAAATATCACTATTTAAATGGATGCAAAGTTGGGTGGTTAGATAAAAGTATAACAACTATAAGAAGATATACCCACGATAAAAAAGTTGAAAGAATAATTAAATTAACTAAGGGAAAAACAACTACAAGGATACAAGAGATAAAAAAAACACAATAAAATTACATTACTTGACCTTACAATTAATCAGGATAGTATAAATAACTGGAGTGTTGAAAGTGAATATATGTCGTAGGCATATAGTCAAATCAGGCATTTTATCAAATGCCTAGGCATATAGTCAAAAAATTTAATGTTTATGCAATTTCACTATCCGCCTAGACATTTAGTTAAATGCCTAGTCATTTAATTAAATGACTAGGCATTTGACTATATGCCTATTTCATGCCAGGCAAATAATAAAAAAACATTTTGTATTATTTTAAAAATTTCAATATATTTTCTATCAGTTATTTATTGCTATTTTATGTATAAAAAAGCTGTGTATTAATTATTAATATGAAAAACACATAGATACTCGTATATGAAATAATAGGTTTAATTTTGTGTTAATTATTATTTAGTATTGTTTTAAAAATGAAATAATAAAAAATAAATAAAAAAGGTATATTATAATTACAAGTTTTTGTTACCTATTGCTTGTTGTCACATGTTGTTATTTGGTGGCATTTGCTGGAACATTTAAGATTTTTCTTAAAACATAAGCACCTATTGGTTTGACATTGCCGCTTTCCTGCTTGACATTGACATTTAACAAAACCTTGACCGTTGAAAATTGATAAGTTTGCTACTGCTTCACGTATGGACACGAATTTGTCTTTTTGTATTTTGCTATCTTCTAAACCATTATTCGACACTAGTTGAAGTTCTTCTCTTGAACACCAATTTTTTATTATACCAACTTCTGTACCAATTTGGTAAACGCCGTTCCGAATGTCTATCACTAACCCATTTATATTTTGACTATCGAGAGGTCCTCGGTCTACTTTTGGAACACTAATTACTATTTGATCACCAACCTTTAGTTCTTTAAATAGTTTTTCACTATTTTCTGTCATTTTTTTAGCTGCTATTGTTTGCCGTTTGTAAGATTCAATGCGGTTAACTTTTATCTGTTTTTCATTATTACATAGCAGACAAATATTTTCAATATCGTTACTATTATTTATAGAATAGCTGCAATTATCAGAATGAATATTTCTTTTACATATAGTACATTTTAGTTCACTACCTGATTTTTCACAAACACTGCAGATATTATTTATGTCACTATATATTTTTTTCTTTGAAGGTATATTGTCAAAATTATGTTCTGAATTGTCTTGTAAAATATTTTCAAAATCTTCTTCACTTGATAATTTTTGAATAATTTTGGCAGGTAAGTTTGTAGAACTAAGACCTACCTTCGGTTCAGTGCCAAACAAGGCTCGATATGGCGAACGACCTAAAATTCGATGATGTGAAATGTTTTTTTGCCATTGTACAAAATAAACTCCGATTGACCACTTGGTACTTTTATTGTCTACGACCCAAGCTCGTAACATGTTTTCAACATCTTGATTTGATCTTTCTACAGATCCCTGACTCTGAGGGTGCCGTGGCCGCCCATGTACTATTTTACATTCAGGCCACAATTCTGCCAATTCTTCAATTATTTTCGCTGTAAATTCTCGCCCATTATCAGACTGAAGTATTTGAGGTGCTCCTTGTTTCAAAAAAATTTTTAAAAGTTCGTGTGCAACTTCGGTGGCTCGTTTTGAAGTAAGTGGTCGAAGATATAAATATTTGGTTGCGTGATCCTGATAGTTCATGACCCATTTAAAATTTCCATCGGGTGTTGATTGGAAATCAATAAGGTCAATTTGCCCTCTTGAATTAAAATCTGCCGATAATATTGGTTTTATAACGACGCCTTTACAAGGTTTTGATTTTTTTTTGTTACAAGTTGTACACAAATTAATAAATATTTGGATTGCTATTCGAGGAATGTTGTATTTATTTTTTAAATTCTGCTCAACTTTATCCCTTCCACCATGACCAGTCGCTTTATGGCTTTCTTCGATTTTTTCAAAATAGTTTTCATATGGTACAACATAAATAATATTTTCGGTTTTAGTTTTTGGTTTTAAAATAATATGTTTAACATTTCCTACTTCAATCAGATCATATTTACGACATAAATAATATTGGTTTTGAGTTTTAGTTTTACCTGGATTCAATTTCGCATCATTGATTTCGTTTAGAGCTTTGTCGTAGTCTTCCTGACTCCATGGCTTTTTTTTATCTTGGTTGTCGTAAATTGATTTTAATTTTTCATAAAACAATACACTGTGTGACATATTATATTTTAAAATACAAATAAAAACAATCAAAATTTTAAATATACAAAAAATGTCAATTGGTATACCTATGTTACAATATTACATGCAATCACGATCACACTACATACGATTTACGTAAACGTAATAGACGTACTAAACTAAATTATTGTACAATTCAATCGCATGTTCTGTATCTTTTTTGGTAACGTCATATTTTTGTCGTTATAATCGATAAGATTATAATTTGTCCCACGGTACTCAATATAGATAAGGTTCTCATACAACCTAGTACCCACGTTAATTTTCCAAGGTAAAAACCAATGGAACTTTTATTTTTATTTAATAAGAATATATAGTACTCACTACTCGTACTATAGACTATATTGACTATATATGCTATACAAAATACTCGTACTATCATTTATGTCTATCACATCTAATTAGTTATTACCTGAATATATTTATGATTTCATTTTTAAAACAATACTAAATAATAATTAACACAAAATTAAACATATTATTTCATATACGAGTATCTACGTGTTTTTCATATTAATAAATAATACACAGCTAATGTTTTTTTATTATTTGCCTGGCATGAAATAGGCATTTAGTCAAATGCCTAGTCATTTAATTAAATGACTAGGCATTTAACTAAATGTCTAGGCGGATAGTGAAATTGCATAAACATTAAATTTTTTGACTATATGCCTAGGTATTTGATAAAATGCCTGATTTGACTATATGCCTACGACATATACACCAATCCAGTTTTATAAAATAAAATAGAATAATGATGATGTATGTTGTCCAATGATATGTTCTATTTGTAAGTTTTGTATTCACACATTTCATTGTTCTTGTTCCGATTACCAAATCAAGTCTATGATATGTAAGCACATACATTTCGTTGCTTTGAAGACAATGTCAACAGAAAATTTTGAAGACATTACTACTTTGTCAGCAGTAGATACAGAGGATACCAAGTTTGATGCAACTGTAAACAATCACAAAGACAATGAATAACAAGTTCATATTAAGACATTAGAAAATAACAAAACAATAAATATGCAAGAACAATTTAAAGAAAAGGCTAATAGCCTAGCTAATAAGATAAACAATATTAAAAATAATGAACATCTTCAAGAAGCATTAAAAAAATTTAATTCTATTGAAGCATTCATTGATGCAACATCAAATAATGACGAGACGCTTAAAGATTTTACTAAGACAATAAATGAACCACCAAATAAAAAACTTAAGACACAAGACACATTCTTCTCTATAAAAAAAAAAAAAACAGGAAAAACTCAATGATTTATCAAAACCAACTAGAGTTGAAACTGAACATCTCAATAATATACTACTACAAAAAAAAAAATTATATTTTAAATTGTAACGAAACTAAACATTCCTATGTTAAAAAGTAAATTATTATTATTATTATTATACTTAATACATTTAATAATTTAATCAAATTTAAAGCCGTGGTTTAGACGCTCCTATTGCGTCGGCGGCGACGGCGTCTTCTTCGATGTATCACGGTGGTGGTGGAGCTCGCGTCCTTGGCACTCCGCACACGTTCGGTGTGGCTGGTGTGTCGTGCAGACACGACAGTCGTCGGTTACGTTCGTAATTGGGCTGCTCTCGGCTTCTGCGGCGGCGGCGTTGTCGTTGTTGGTGCTGACGTTTCTAGATTTTTGAATTTTGTATGCGACGTTTCGACGTTCGTATTGTATAATATACGAATATACGGACTTGAAAAATCTTGATGCTCTGTAAATTCTTCGTTTTGATTCTAAGATGCTCTGGAGTTTCTTATTGTAATTACTTGATGCTTTGCCGAATGTCCGTTACTCTATCCGTAAAGAAAATCGGTAGTACGTAGGTTCTTCAACAATTTATTTCGCAATAAAATTGTCGACTTCCGTTGCCACCAAATGATGTGTACCGGCACGTCGTTATTCTTAGTGAAGAGGGCAAGGACGTATTTTGAAAGAATATACGCAAAGGCGCTTATTAAATTACTAAAAGATGTGTTTATTATTACAAAAACTACAATTTAGTGTATCCTAAATGCTTAATTACTCTAGACTTATTACATAGATTTTCTGTATAACAAATGAGGTTCTGCCTGAGTGCGTATAACTCTACAACTAACTGGGCGGCCGTGACCAAGGAGCCCTCTGTGCAACGACCAGGGTAGGAATTGCTGGATAAGCAGATTCCAGCTCGAGCGTCCATTCCCGTAGTCACGTACGCCAGTATAAATATCATATTACTCTAATATAACTACGTACTATGCTCCAATATAACAAATAATTCTCGACCGACCTTAAATAAAAAAATAAAAATGAAATATTGTCAAAATAATAATAAACATCGTACTTCCGAAATAGCAGTTTTTCAACCCTTTCCAACGCTTCAAGGCATATATCATCGTTGTCATCTTCAAACCCGTTGTTATATCATCTATGATAAAATCATTTTAAATTAATATTATGCTTAAAATATTTGCTATATACTTACTCTCACACAATGCATTTTGTTCGACCTTATCCAACACTGCAATACAAAAAGCATCATCGCCAACTTCAAAGGTTATTATCACCTTATAGTGAAACTTTCATACAACGAAGTCGAATAAGCAGCAAAAAAAATTCTTAATATGGAGGAATTCGTTAAATAGAATTACGTATTTTTTTCAACTTTTTTTAAAAATGTTATTGCATGTATGTAAATACTTCTATGTTGTATATGTTATGTAAAAAACAACATAAAATATAATATTTCAGTTTAATTTAGTTTTCAATTTTATAATTCAAAAGTATAATTAGTGTGTTTTGTTTGCTTATTATTTTTATAAATTGTATTTTTTTTTAAAAAGTTTGCCTACCTCCAGTGTCTTATCTTTATCGGATAAGATTGAACTATGTTTAAATTTGATAGTGACAACATTTACAAAAACTAGTTTTTGTCGAATAATTATTTCGTTATATAGAAACATCAAATTCGTTATTTGGAGATACATTTACGTGTAATTAACAACGAATGAGGTCATGGTTCCCAAAAATAATTCGTTAAATGGAAGTTCGTTATATGGAAGTTTCACTGTATTTGAAACGAATGTTTCGCTTAACGTTATAGCATATATTATACTAACCGTGAATACTTTTCATGTGTCGTCTCAGAGCATCCTTTCTGCTAAAAAAAGTATTGCAAATAAAACACTTAATTTTTTCTGTGTTATTGTGAGACTCTAAATGTCTCATTAAAATATCTTTTCTCTAGAAAACAGAAACACAATGACTACATTTAAACATTTACTATTATAAGCACATCAGAATGATATGGCTGAAAACCGTACTAAATCCGTTATACTGTGTAATAACTCAAAGTAATTGAGAGACAAAAAAATTCTTCGGTAGACTCACATCATCGGAGAAAAAAATGCTTAATAGGTGTTTTTCATTTTTCGGAAACACAAAAGGTGGTTGTTACTTATGATAAATCTCAGTGTACTCTTAGTGCAGTTTGTCAACAGACGCATTATTACAGTTATTTGTTTTTAAAAATGTCATACTCCAGCCAGGAATCTACTTTTAACACTCCTGGCGTTTCAGCAGGTTTTATTGACTTTTTAAGGAATGATGAGTTTGAAGAAATGGTAAGTTTAATTACTTTTACGTACCTATATATAATATATTAAAAATAATAAATTGTATATATTTATAGCTATCAAATACACCTAGACGAGTCTATTACAATAATTTATTAACCCATGAAGAAAACATTTCTGCTGACGAGGTTAGTATGACAAAATATAAAATTGCTTTAGTACTTACATTACCTATGTTGTATGTTGTTATAGACTAGAATCGATATCAAATGTGTATGGGAGTATTGTATTAACCATCAACGAGAAAAGTTTATTTAATGTTGTTTTTTCATGTAATATGTATTTAACAAATATTTACTATCATAGATAAACCAAATAATATCGACTCATAGGCTGGCAAAGATTCTGATGATATATGTCGTGAAGTACTGGAACGGTATATTTGGGGCGGATACGCGGACGACGAGAGGTTAATGTTAGAAACATGTAATAAAATTGAATTTAGTACCTAACTTGTATTACTTATCTGTGTATACATAAATATAACTCTTGATTAATATTCTATAACTTTATTTATTTAACATCACAAATCTTCATCGGATGTAATATTTGGTGAGAACGTTTCTGACATTTCTTCGTCACTCGAATCTTCATCAGTTAGCATTTCTTCATCATCACTACTATAAAGATATTTTTTATTTTATTTTTTTTAGGCAATGTTAGAAAAAAAAAATTATTATAATAAACTTACGTTACCACCCACCCAGTGGCTTATTCAGGGTAGCCACAGGGGCCATGCCTCCCTCCCCCATCATTGGCCGTATTTGCTATTTTTTGCAGTATTTTATAATTTTTTTTAATTTTTGCTATTTTCAAATTTTAAACAGTGAGTGACCCCTCCCTCCCTATAAAACATCTGTCACGGGGAATTGGGAATACCCGTTGAACGATAACGATTTTATTTATTAATAAGCTACTTCAGTAGTATATAGAGTACAGTTGTAACTCGTAGTTACCACGTAAATATCAACTAAATGATAATGCTTTAAATAACCATGTTTGGTGTTATTCAGAATATTGCGGTACTGTACTACTGATTATCTTAGTATAGTCATTAATGATGTTATCAATTCTTATCCTTATTCTTATATCATATTCAAATGTAGTTATAGTTTTGTACAACAATATTTCTCACTAAATCCAGTATTCACCACCCACTCACCCACCCATAATTATGGGGTACCTGCCCTTCAAAATCACGGTCACCATGCCACTGAACACATCCATTATAGTGACCTACTCTAAGACCCGCTAATGTACAGCAAAGCGACATCCACTTGTCCCCTTTTTAAAATTGAAATCATTCGTAAAATTATACATATTGAAATCAGTCTGCCTCATTTATTTACCTACGACTGATGTTCACATATAAAATGTATACTATACAATGTGTGACTATAATATAACTTATATTTAGATGGCAACATTCATATACCACATTAGTGGCGGTTGCACCGGCGGCGGCACCAGCAACGGCGCAGAAGGTGGCCGTAGTGGCGGTGGTAATCGAAACAGTAAGAATATATTTTAATACTTACCTACTAATTTGTTTAAGATCTATTTTCGTAAGATAAAATATTCAGGCGTAGCAAAACTTACACATATAATACTAATACACCACAATACCACATTGACATTTAAGAATGACTATTTGTATTATGATTTATGATGTATTATAGTGTATACATTTGTCTTTTAGGTAGGTATTGAGGTATTCATTGATTTTAACTAACAACCATTAAGGGGATTTGAAGCGGTGATTTTCTGTCTTTCTCTAACCCTAACAAAAATAAAGATACTTCTAGTTGTTCGATTCAAAATATGTAAAGATGTTTTAATTGGTATACA